GCAAGAAATTTATTTAATAGTTATAGAGCATACGACTATAGAAAGGCCCCAAAACCTATCTAGTCCAGCATCCTGACTGGTACAATGGTGAACTAGATGCTTTTGGGAAGTTCACAAGCAGGACATGAATAGCTCACTGCTGTGCAATACCTCTTGGTATGAAGACGAAACACTATTTCTGAATCGCATTCAAACTCAAAGTACTTTTTTCATAGAGGAGGCTGCCTGCTACTGCTTCAGATAATGCATTGCCTTTTTCTGGGCAGAGATGCTACACCAGCTTCCTGACAGGTGGGTCGTTGTCACTTAGCAGAAGGGGTGAAGTGGTGGCAAGGTCAGTGCGGTGCAAACACACCAGCAGGAGCACCAGATTATTGACACTTCAGTCCCTCTTCTTCCCCATCCACCCACACAACTGAGAATGAATCTGTCTTCAGTCTTGCAGACAGTTGCCTCCCCACAACTGCAAAACAAGGTAGAGAAAATGAATATCTTCTACAGGATTTTGGCAGCAAACCACCTGCTGGCAAGATAGCATAGCACCCAGCTAGCTTCCAATCAGACTCTACAGAAAGTATGTCATGTCTCTAGATCATGTGTGGCTGGAACCCAAAGCAGAGGTGCAACAGAATTAAAGGTAAAGGTACCCCTGCCCGTACGGGCCAGTCTTGACAGACTCTAGGGTTGTGCGCTCATCTCACTCTAGAGGCCGGGAGCCAGTGCTGTCCACAGACACTTCCGGGTCACGTGGCCAGCGTGACGAAGCTGCTCCGGCGAACCGGCACCAGAGCAGCACACGGAAATGCCGTTTACCTTCCCGCTAGTAAGCGGTCCCTATTTATCTACTTGCACCCGGGGGGTGCTTTCGAACTGCTAGGTTGGCAGGCGCTGGGACCGAGCAACGGGAGCTCACCCCGCCGCGGGGATTCGAACCGCCGACCATGCGATCGGCAAGTCCTAGGCGCTGAGGTTTTACCCACAGCGCCACCCGCGTTGCCCTCAAAGGAGTCTGCCTGTTGTATCTCTGCATAAGTCATGAACTCTGGGCTTACCATATTCTCGTCAGGAAGCACACCCAGTACTGTAGCTGACGCAACAGATAGAGGGTAATTCAGGTGGGTAATTTTGGAATCCCTGATATCCTACATTCTTAAGGTAAACCTTTGTAGGACTTGTAAGAGTGACATGGGTCTTGGTGTGTGTCAGTTCTCAGAAGCCTGGGAAACCCTGGGCAAAAGAGACTTTTGCATGCCTAACTCAAATTGGGGCAGGGGTGCCAACCTGAGTAAAATAGGGGGGCAGGTAAGCCCCACATATTTGATCACATGATGCAGCGCCCGCACACTCCATTTGAATGGGAATGCCCATCAACTTTGTGGGGGCCTGGCCCTCTCAAAGCCCCCATGACCCCTAGGAGTTCCTATAAACTGGGGTTAAATTCTCCTGGACGACCCAATCTAACCCTTGTGGGAACACTAAACAGTGATGCAAAACCAAACAGATGGCCTCCAGGCCTTTATTATCAAAAGGGCTTGCCTGCAAAAAGGAAAGGGGCACACCTTTCACAGTGCACAAATAGGCCCTTTGTTCTCCCAGCACCTCCTAGAGCCATAGATATTTGCTTAACACTTTTTTGTTTGTTCCAGGAGCTTTATGTTCCAGGAGGCAACTGGTCTGTCTTTAAGGTGGAGCGTTCTTCATACACTGTGCGAGAAAGAAATATGTTCCACTCACTTCAGCATGAAGTCTGATTTCACCTGAATCCTCCAGAGTGTCAAGTGAAAACAAAAACTACCAAGCACAGTTGAGAGCGTAGGATTGGGCATCTAAGTGCTCCCCTCCTTCTGTGAAGCATTATTCTCGGGCACCTTGGACGTTACAGCTCTCGTTTTATCTCTGCTATTGGTGCCTTCATTCCTGCTCTCTTGAATAAGGAGCAAAGTTGTTTCACTTTACACCACTGGATAGCCCCTCACAGTGAAGCAAAGAACGCACAGTGGCAATGGACTGTTTCTCTGGAGTCTGGCAGGCCTGCCTGGGAGAGTTTAGAGTACCCAAATTTTAAAGGAGGGCCAGCCCAAGACATTTTGTGGCCTGAGGTGAAGTTGGCACAAGGGATGTGGTGGTGGTGGGGATTCAATTCAGTTCACATTTAAAGCTGGACCTACCCAATCTGCATATTATTATTATTATTATTATCATCATCATCATCATCATCATCATCATCATCAGTATCTAAAACCATGTTTGCATGTTTGCATCTCAAGGAGCATTTTATCCAAGGATAGCTGACTGACTCATTGACCCATCATTCTCCGACTTTTAGCCTGATCCTCTGATAAAATTATCTGCAGCATGGACAGGGTGAGAGCATTGTAGGTATAGTCCACGAGGGGGCAGTGGAAGTGTTGGTTCCTGCTTTTGCTTCTGCAGAAGGAAGGCTGCCTCCCCACATTCGCAGGTCTAATATAAGCAAAACAAAGAGGGGAGCAATGTTTTTAGGCATGCCTTTAGATATTGTGGGTCATAATCAAGCTAATAAGTTCTTCTGAAAACTTTAAGACATAAATAGTTTGCAGGTGACTCATTCCACTGGGTTCAGTGGGACTCAGGTATAATAATAATAATAATAATAATAATAATAATAATAATAATAATAATTTATTTATACCCTGTCTACTATCTGGCTGGATTTCCCCAGCCATTCTGGGCGGCTTCCAACAAAATATTAAAATACAATAGTCCTTCAGATATTAAAAGCTTCCCTAAACAGGGCTGCCTTCAGATGTCTTCTAAAAGTCAGATAGTTGTTAATTTCCTTGACATCTGATGGGATGGGATGGGAGGGCATTCCACAGGGCGGGCGCCACTACTGAGAAGCCCTCTGCCTGGTTCCCTGTAACTTTAATTTTCGCAGTGAGGGAACTGCCAGAAGGCTCTCGGAGCTGGACCTCAGTGTCCAGGCTGAACAATGGGAGTGGAGACGCTCCTTCAGGTATACCAGACTGAGGCCGTTTAGGGCTTTATAGGTCAGCACCAGTGCTTTGAACTGTGCTCAGAAATGTACTGGGAGCCAACTAACTTTAGCTGTACTAGAGATGGTAGCCTGTATACTAACAACAAACTTGTTCTCTGAGAGTTGATCTTTATGTAGTCAAAACAGCAGTACCTGAGGAGCGAGGAAGGGAAAACTGGGAGGAAGCAGGATGGAATGGAGTATCCTGGACAAAGACCTGGCTGGCTGGCTAGATCACTGACTGCATCAATAATATGAGACTGTCTCGATAGCATTTTCTTCTAAAATATGATTATAATACGGCAACAGATGTGCACCAACTAAGCAGCTTTCGTTTGAGAGGGAGATGCAACTCTCTGCTTTTGCTTTCAGAAGATAGAGGATTTATCTCATTATCTGTCTATAATATGACTTGCCAGGGCAATGATTTTTGGCATCGGTTGTAGAAGAGGAGCCTCTGTGAAAACATGTTATCATTTTGATTGGGAAATTGCCTTTACAAAGTAGTTCTGTTGACACTGGCAGTGCCAAAGATTAGAAATAAATTTGCAACGCAAAATATACATAACTATGTGTTGTGGGCAGAATGTCATCTAGCAGTTTATACACCAATGACATGTCATCCTAAGATTTTATTGTGAGTTTGTCCACTTTGTATGTTGGGTGTTTCAGCTATGGCTTATATGAAAAAATGAACAAGTATCATCGGTGACAGCAGTCACGAAATTAAAAGACTCCTGCTCCTTGGGAGAAAGGCGATGGCAAACCTAGACAGCATCTTAAAAAGCAGAGACATCACCTTGCCAACAAAGGTCCGCATAGTTAAAGCCATGGTTTTCCCAGTAGTGATGTATGGAAGTGAGAGCTGGACCATAAAGAAGGCTGATCGCCGAAGAATTGATGCTTTTGAATTCTGGTACTGGAGGAGACTCTTGAGAGTCCCATGGACTGCAAGAAGATCAAACCTCTCCATTCTTAAGGAAATCAGCCCTGAGTGGTCACTGGAAGGACAGATCATGAAGCTGAGGCTCCAATACTTTGGCCACCTCATGAGAAGAGAAGATTCCCTGGAAAAGACCCAGATGTTGGGAAAGATGGAGGGCACAAGGAGAAGGGGACGACAGAGGATGAGATGGTTGGACAGTGTTCTCGAAGCCACAAACATGAGTCTGACCAAACTGCGGGAGGCAGTGGAAGACAGGAGTGCCTGGCGTGTTCTGGTCCATGGGGTCACGAAGAGTCGGACACAACTAAACGACTAAGAAACAACAATCATCAGGACTAAGGAAGGAAGTCTGATTTACTGAGAAATGCTCCATTTTAACAAGGTGCAAGAAAATCCATAACCAAACAGATTCTTAATATCGGCATTTTATGAAGAACTTATAGATATAATATGACAAATAACTGTGCAAAAAAAAAAAATTACGCTCAAAGAGAAAAGGGGTTACTTGGAACCTTTAATGTTGCTAAGAGAAATAAAGATTTATTGGAAACTTTATGTTGCAAGATCCACTAATATATTGTTGGATAAAAATGAAGATGCATTAAGATGTCTCCATCTGAAAGTAATATTTAATTGATTTTGTATATTTTTTATTCTTAAGCATTGAATAAAGGCTTTCACCACGAAGAATATGCCATACTCATGCCCTTAAAATATACCTGGCTGAGTATTGTGCATTAGTACTACAGTTACTACTACTATGCTGCCAATGTGCATGGTGCTTTTCAGAGTATTGTACCTCAGAGTATTGGTCATGTCTACAGAATGGAAGATGGCAGTATCCCCAGGGATACAGGGAGCTGGCTTCAGGCACCAAGCCAAACTCTGCCAACAAAGATGTCTGCAAACATGACATGAAGACTGGCAATGTCAACCCCATTGTGCAGGAATCCCTTCCCTAAAACTGGAATGGAGGAATGGTAACTGTAATAATACAGAATGCAGAAGTGCTTACGTATACCTATTTTCTTCAACTAGGATAATGAGTCCCCAAATCTGTTGGCTCTGCAACATCTTCAGAGATGGCACAAATGGAATCACCTCAAAGTAAGTGCAATATGGGGGGGGGGGACACATTGATAGAATACAGAGAACTATAGTTGTTCTGATTTTTGTTAGTCTCTTCTACTTTTAAATTCGATTGATTTCAAAGAGAGTTGTAAGCATCCCATTGAAATAATCAAGACTTTGGGAAGTAGCATTTTGTGATCCTATGCTAAAAAACTACTTTGGGGGAGTGTGTGTGTGTGTGTGTGTAATTTTTTAAGTAAAAGACTTTGCTCATTATTATTTCATTTATTTATTAAATGTAAAAAGGCCAACAATGTAATCCTAGACAGGTCTGCTTGCATGTAAGCGGCTGAACAATTGCTGCCCTATAAATCTTCCTAAAATTAGCTGTAACTTTGAAACCAATGGGGGGAAAACGGCCATGCCTAATATAAGTCACATTGTTACATTCACAACTGACTTGTCACAGCTATTACAAAGTAGCTTACCAAAAGAAATAATTGAAGTGCCTAGATTGGAGCGATGATTTCAGTAACACATGCTATCAAGACAAGATACAGTTTCCAAGAGCCAACAGGAAACTGATGTCTGGAAACAGCTTGCAGAGGCCGTGAAAGTCTCAGACCAGACCTGCCAGGATGTCTCTGCAAGGCTCATGAGACCTGCTGATTTGCCTGCACAGCTTTAACCTTGCTGCCACCCTGCCCACCCTGCCCACAGAGGAAAACCACACCACATGGGCTGCTACCGCATGGCTGCCACCTAGCGTTGCAACACTTGAAACTTCTATATTGATTTTAACCTGCAAGAATAAGTAATGCAACAATCTCTGATTGTACAGTGGTGCCTCGGGTTAAGAACTTCATTCGTTCTGGAGATCCGTTCTTACCCTGAAATTGTTCTTAACCTGAGGTACCACTTTAGGTAAAGAGGCCTCCCGCTGCCGCCGCACCGTTGCTGCACGATTTCTGTTCTCATCCTGAAACAAAGTTCTTAACCCAAGATACTATTTCTGAGTTAGCGGAGTCTGTAACCTGAAGCGTCTGTAACCTGAAGTGTCTGTAACCCGCGGTACCACTGTACTGGAGTGGATTGGAGTGATTATTCTGTGATATTATGGTAGTGGAGAAAGCTGCACGGTAACTTTTGAATAAATGGGTTTTTTGGCGGGGTTTTAAGTTTCCATATCAGATGCATCAAAATCTCAATTGCTGCACCTTTTCCTTTGCAAATTTTGTCACCAATTCCTTCAGGTCGAGCATCAGCAAATTCACATAATGATCACTCCAATCCTCTATTGAAACTTTTATGAGATTTAAGTGTTAACATCACAGTTTGCAAGGTTATTCAAAGTGATGTGCGTGCCAAAACTGTTCCTTTTATATTTGAGACAGGCAATCAGAGATTGCTGCATTACTTATTCTTGCAAGTCAAAATTAATTTAGAAGTTTCAAGGGTTTTGCAACATTGTTGAGCGTGTGTGGGCTTTCATAAGTTTGAGCTTGGAGAAACTGCATTCAAAATATAAAATAAAAGTAAAATATTGTCAGAAATTTATGGCATAAACTAATCTATACAAGGGACGCGGGTGGCGCTGTGGGTTAAACCACAGAGCCTAAGACTTGCTGATCGAAAGGTCAGCAGTTCGAATCCCCATGGCGGGGTGAGCTCCCGTCGTTTGGTCCCAGCTCCTGCCCACCTAGCAGTTCGAAAGTACCCCTAAGTGCAAGTAGATAAATAAGGACCGCTTTCTAGCAGGAAGGTAAATGGCTTTTCCGTGTGCGGTGCTGGTGCTGGCTTGCCAGATGCAGCTTCGTCACGCTGGCCATGTGACCCGGAAGTGTCTTTGGACAGCGCCGGCTCCCGGCCTCTTGAGCGAGATGAGCGCGCAACCCTAGAGTCAGTCACGACTGGCCCTGACGGGCAGGGGTACCTTTACCTTTACCTTAATCTATATAAAACTGGGCTCCTCTGCAGCTGCAAACACGCATGGGCAAGCAAACATGGGCATAGTCAGGATTTTTGTTAGGGGGCAGAACCTTAGTTTGCTATGTATTTTTATTTATTGTTATTGATTTTTGTTGATTTAGGGGGGCAGCTGCCCCTCCCTGCCCCCCTGGCTATGCCCATGCAAGCACATCTCCTATTCCAAACTCTCAAGGGAGATTTTCATCTAATTTCATAACTTTTAGGTCAGAGGTGGATTTAGGGCAGCGTGACTCGTTTCAACTGCACTGGACACCAAGCTGAGGGGGTGCCATCAAGTTGTCGCAGCCATGACATATGAGCCGAATGGAAGGCAAGAGGTGGGGAGGGATGCCATACCAAGCGCCACTGAAATTTGAAACACCCAAGAGGACCGCTGCTTTTACCAGCCTTTGTACCCAATTTACCCACATTCTGCCTGACAAAGGAAGTTCCCCAGCCACTACAAGTGCACTAGCAAATATAATACTATGCCTAGGTAAAGGTAAAGGGGCCCCTGACCACTAGGTCCAGTCGTGACCGACTCTGGGGTTGCGGCGCTCATCCACATTACTGACTGAGGGAGCCGAAGTACAGTTTCAGGGTCATGTGGCCAGCATGACCAAACCGCTTCTGGCGAACCAGAGCAGCACACGGAAACGCCATTTACCTTCCCACCGGAGCGGTACCTATTTATCTACTTGGACTTTGACGTGCTTTCGAATTGCTAGGTTGGCAGGAGCAGGGACCGAGCAACGGGAGCTCACCCCGTCATGGGGATTCGAACTGCTGACCTTTTGATCGGCAAGTCCTAGGCTCTGTGGTTTAACCCACAGCGCCACCCACGTCCCTAATACTATGCCTAGGATGGTGCAAAATAGCAGGTGAAGGGCTGGAGCAAAGTCACATGACATGGAGTTTTGCTGGTGTTTTATATATCATAGAATTGTAGAATTGGAAAGGACCATGAAATGAAGGAATCTTTTGTTCAACGTGGGACTCAAACCCACAACCGTGTGATTAAAAGTCTCACGCTCTACCGACTGAGCTATCCCAGGTTGCAAAAACAGTAGGAGGAGTGTGGTGGTTCAAGGCACCAACCAAACAAAGAATAGAATGTCTTTTTTATCAACGGGGGAATCTTCTTATTGCTAACACACACAGAAACGACCCAGACACTTTGCTAGGGTAAGCTAAAAATGCCCAAAGGCAAATAACAGTGATGGTTATAAATCACCAATGCTGTAAAATCCTGCAAACAGCTGTTGTGCAAAGCAAGTTTATGAATCTTTTGTTTGGGTTCAGTGTACAAAGGCCAATTTTGCTTTTAATCAAGAATGGATTAGGAATGAACTTTGTAATAATTAAGTGGCTTTGGTAAGCATGTGGAACTGATGTCAGGCCAAGTGGGGATGAAGAAAATTGTCCTCTAACTTTTAGGTGGTCCAGGATGGCTACTCCATTTTGTTTCTTTAATGCAAGATCTTCAAAATTGGGGGTGCAGGAGAAATTCATTTCAGTTCACATTTAATGGTGAACCTACCCAATTCATACTTTCTGAAACAAAATGCAAGCCTCAACATAGTCCGTCTTCAAAATTCACGCTTCTCAGAATTTTGCAGTGCTCCAGCCCAGTAACATGCAGAAAAATGCATACATTAATTTGAAAAAATAACATGCAGACATGCATCAAATAGGGAGAAATTGCTTGCAAAAAATGCATATTCACTCAAAAGTAACATAAACATACAAAAATGCACTGTCTAAGGGGAAATTGCTTTGCAAACTTATAGTAGGGAAATTTCATACAAAAAAAATGTGTAGGAGAAAAAAGTGTATTAGGAAAACTTCACTCTAAAATGCTAATGAATTTTCATGAGGACTTAAAAAAATGTAAAAGGAGGTGAAAATACAAAGAATTGGGTTTAAGATTCAAAAAATTAGAAACCAAAATTGACAGATTTGTCCATCCATAACTGCAATCCTAGAAGAAGAAGAAGAAGAAGAGTTTGGATTTGATATCCCACCTTTCACTCACCTTCAGGAGTCTCAAAGCGGCTAACATTCTCCTTTCCCTTCCTCCCCCACAACAAACACTCTGTGAGGTGAGTGGGGCTGAGAGACTTCAGAGAAATGTGACTGGCCCAAGGTCACCCAGCAGCTGCATGTGGAGGAGCGGAGACGCGAACCCGGTTTCCCAGATTATGTGACTACCGCTCTTAACCACTACACCACACTGGCTCTCAATCCTGCACACATTTACCTTGGATTAAGCACCAGAACTTTGGGAACTCAGGCCGAAGAATAATGGGGAAAAGAATTGCATGGTTGAAGTCCAGTTTCCTTTTAGAAGGCACAACACTTCACATTTTTAACTCACCAGCTCAGAACAGAATAGATCCTTAAGACCTTCATTTTTCAGGTAGGGGTTCCTCACCTTTTATGGCAAGAGAATTACCTCTTCTACAGAACAATCAAAGGTGCACAAGGTCCTTTTGTTCTAGCTGGCCGCTGTAAAGGTAAAGGTACCCCTGACTGTTAGGTCCAGTCGTGTCCGACTCTGGGGTTGCGGCACTCATCTTGCTTTATTGGCCGAGGGAGCCGGTGTTTTTCCGGGTCATGTGGCCAGCATGACTAAGCCGCTTCTGGCAAACCAGAGCAGTGCACGGAAACACCGTTTACCTTCCCGCTGGAGCGGGTACCTATTTATCTGCTTGCACTTCGTGCTTTCGAACTGCTAGGTGGGCAGGAGCTGGGACTGAACAATAGGAGCTCACCCCATCGCAGGGATTTGAACCGCCAACCTTCTGATCGGCAAGCCCTAGGCTCAGTGGTTTAGACCACAGCGCTGTAGTTATTTGCTATTCTAAACACATGGTTTTCATTTCCCTTATTTCTCACAGAGTAAGTCTGGAGGAAGTGCTGCAGTGGTCTCAGTCTTTTGAAAAACTAATGGCTACTAAATGTGAGTTATCATGTGATTTTTAACCAGAACACTATGTAAGTGTGGGGATCTGTTTGTGTGTGTAAATTTTGCAATGCAATTTTGGTTCAAAAACTGTGCACAACACCCCACTTCCCATGTTTTACATAAAAATGCATGCAAAATGCCCATTTTAAAGGAAAACATATGAGATAATGTATGTCTGCATTAAAAATGAGTATTTTATTAATCATTTCTGAGGAAGCATTGAGAAGCTGTTTCAGAATATATATATATTTTAAAAACCTGCATTTTTAAAATTGCACATGTAAAAACAATGTTAAAAGCATGAATGCCTTTTCTGCAAAGTGCAGTGATCATTTGGCTATATAAGGGATGACATGATCATGGAGATATTTGGGTCCCAAGCTATACTGTGTAGGACTTTGTACATCAGTACCACACCTTGAACTTAGCCTGGTAGTTAACTGACCACCAGTGCAGTCCTTTCAGCAGCAGTATAACATGGTACCGATAGTCTACAACAGCATGGCCCCAAGAAAGAGAATTTTTGTGCTCCGTGATCTTGCACAGGTCAAATGACTCACATGAGAGCACAGCTTGGAAGATGTGTATCCCAGTTTTGGCACTCAACACATTGGAGGGTATGCACTGTTACCACACCGAGTGACCCCACCTAATTTTCAGATGGGCCTATTGTCTACAAAACCTACCTGAAGACTGAATACAGCGATGAGAACATTGAATTCTGGTTTGCTTGTGAAAAGTATAAGAAGATTGTATCTCAGAGGAAAAGAATCTCGATGGCACAGAAACTTTTCAAGGAATATATACAGCCTCAGGCTCCGAGGGAGGTAAGTTAATGATCTGGAGAGGAATACATAAAGTCTGTTTTGGGTTTGGTGCTGGTTATCTATGCAAATTAAAGAGTGAAGTCTCCAAAAATTATTATATAATAATCTCAGATATCTCTTCAGGCAATTGAAAGCTAAAGATGGGGACCTTATTTTGTTTTATTCTTCTTATAGTTATATCCTACCTTTCTTCTATCAGAGAACCCAAAGTGATTCCCAGATAGTCAATACATCCAGACCTCCTTAGCATCCACAAGGGGATGGTGATCTCTTGAGCCTTCACACCATAACCTGGAATTGTAGTAGCACAGGCAATAAATTTATGCCTCTTTTGCATCCTCAGTAGTCTTGTTATAATGGAGAAACATTAACTTCTCAGAGACTCCTTCTGCTCTTAAATCTTCCATGCCACTCTCTAAATTTCAGACACAGAAACCCAAGTAAAACCCAAGTAACAGAACTTCACACTAAAGGTGTGCTCATACCAGCCTGTTTCCCAGGCTGAGAATGTCAGTCTTTCCATGAAATCCAAGGCAGGGTCATTGTTTGGTGCTCTTTTTCTGAGCTTGGGGCAGGAGAAGAGAAGAGGAGGAGCTTACAAGGTATAAACCAGGCTTCCTCAACCTCAGCCCTCCAGATGTTTTTGGCCTACAACTCCCATGATCCCTAACTAGTAGGACCAGTGGTCAGGGACGATGGGAATTGTAGTCTCAAAACATCTGGAGGGCTGAGGCCAAGGAAACCTGGTATAAACAATGGAATAGTGAAACAGCCACGTCAACTAGTTACAGGCTTTCATTTGAAATGAGACCTGCCTAACTGGCAGATTGGCAATATCACATCTGCCTGCTGAAGAGGACTCAAGGTGCTCATGAACCAAGCAGAACACACTGAGATCCTTGTTCATAAGTGTTCCACTGCTGCCCTTTAGATGAGCATCCACATGTGAACAGAACTTAGAAACAGAGCCAGCCAAAGACATTTTGCTGCCTGCAGTGACAATGGTGCCCCTCCCAGTTCCATGTATAAAACCCAACTGGACTAGTGGATGGTTGGTTGGCATCTGTCTGCCTCAGGAGACAATAGAGGAGTGTGCCTTTGGGGGCACTCTGTTGGCAGGTTGCAGCGCCAACAGAGCAATGTGAGAGACTCTTACTACATCACTGGTGATAGGATAGTGTATCCCCCCACTAAACCTGTTCTTTTGTTTGCGTGTTTAGCTTTTTTTGGTATTTTTATTGTAGATCATCTGGAGATGTTTTTGTAGAAGGCAATTAATTAATTCATCATGTACTGTTTTAAAGAGCTTAAACATGGGCTTGAAATATAGGTCACTGAAGTGGCAAAAGTAACAGTAGGGGAACATCTTGATGAAATCCTTCAGTGGTGAATATGACATCTGTGGCTTCGTGTTCATGTGAAAGGTCCTGTTTTCCATTAGGATTTGCTTCTTGGAAGGAAAGCCTCATGACATTGTTACACACACAAAAAGTTGGGGAAGGACAGACTGCTTTCATAATAAGCATATTATGCAAAGGTGACCCAAACATGAAAAATCCATTTCAATTCCAAATGGGTGTCAATACTATATTTTCTATCTATCTATCTATATCCCCGCGACGGGGTGAGCTCCCGTTGCTCGGTCCCTGCTCCTGCCAACCTAGCAGTTCGAAAGCACATCAAAGTGCAAGTAGATAAATAGGTACCGCTCCGGCGGGAAGGTAAACGGCGTTTCCGTGCGCTTCTCTGGTTCGCCAGAAGCGGCTTAGTCATGCTGACCACATGACCCGGAAGCTGTACGCCGGCTCCTCGGCCAATAAAGCGAGATGAGTGTCTCAACCCCAGAGTCGTCCATGACTGGACCTAATGGTCAGGGGTCCCTTTACCTTTACCTTTTTACTCTCTTTTTCAGATTAACATGGATAGTCAAGCAAGAGAAGCTGTTATCAAAAACATTCAAGAAGCAACGCAGTCCTGTTTCAATGAAGCCCAGAAAATTGTTTACTTGCACATGGAAAGAGATTCCTACCCGAGGTTTCTTGGTTCAGAAATCTATCGGAACCTTTTCCTTACACTTTCAACCAGACAGAAACCACCAGTGTCTATGAAAGAGGGAGAATAAGAACTCGGAAGTGGCCATTTTCACCATCTGTTTTTGAGCCTTATCATAAACAAGAGAAAATCAAGACACTAACGGAACATACATACAACACAGAGAAATCTTGTCATGTTTTAACTTAGCACAGGTAATGTTGAACTGAACCATACAAATCAAATGTAAAAAATAATGTCAGTAGCAGTGTGATTTGTTTATATTTCGGAGGGGGGGCAGCAACTTTGGAATAATCATAGTCTCTCTGAACAAACCAACCCAATTTCACATTGACACTTAGTAACAGAGGCACCAGCATGCAAGGTCTGGGGGCGGGGGACGTTGCATGCCTGATGTCAGTATTTTGGGAAGAGCCAAAGCCAGAGTCAAACACAGTGGCAGTGTGGCTTCAGTGACTGGCAGCTCCTTATCTTCCTCTTCCTCTTCCTCTTGCTATGCCACCAGCAGGGGGCTGCTTTGACCCCCCCCTTCCCCTAAGCGGCAGGAGGAGGAGAAGGAACTGGTCACTGAAGCCACACTGTACTTGGCTCCACCCTTGGCCCTCTCTCCCCCCCCCCCGATTTTTTGGGACATTGGTGGCAATCCCCTCCCCAAAATATGGGGGGTGGGCAAAAGGGCTCAGCCCCTGTGAGTTGCTGTCCCTGATTAATATACAGTAGCTGCTGCCCCAGTGCTTCAATTTTTGGCCTGGAATGTGTATGCCACTGTTTGCTTATATATTTGCAATGGCCACTCACCTAGCTAGAGTTTGGGGGACTAAAATTTGGGAGAGTCAGGAGATGGATGTGGATTTCATGGGGCTAGAGGGCCAGCAGCATGTGACGCCTCTGTTAAAACATCTACACCAGGCTTGCTCAAACTCAGCTCTCCAGATGTTTTGAGACTACAATTCCCATCATCCCTGACCACTGGTCCTGCTAGCTAGGGATCGTGGGAGTTGTAGGCCAAAAACATCTGGAGGGCTGAGTTTGAGGAAGCCTGATCTACACTGACTGCCCATATGCTACTAGTCCTGGTTCAAGGCTCTTGCATTGAGGTACATAGCCCTGAACAACTTGGGTCCAGGATACCTTAAGGACCTCCTGAGCCCTTATATTCTAGCCTGAGCACTAAGATCATCTGGAGGGCTGTTATTTCTCCCACATATGACAGAGCCCCAGGTGACTCAACCAGAAGTGATGATTGGTCCCATTCTGTGGAAAGCTCTTCCAGCAGAATATTGACTTTCATCTCTATGACAACAGGCTCTGCATCTGCTTAGTTTTTTCATTGTGTACCCAGTCATTTTTATTATTGCTCTGTACTGCTTTGAAGGGTATTTTATGTTTTTATATTGCTGTACACCGCCCTGATATTTTATGAGAGGTTGATATATAAATGCTTTTATAAATACAACATAATCAAATAAGGTTTCCCTCTACCTTTCTGCCATATTTCAAGCACTGATTCACTCACTGCCATATGTTTATACTGAGACAAGCAGAGATGCCTGACAATTGCCAGAGAAGAAATACTTGGAAGTGCTACAAAGGCAATGGGTACTTCTTCCTTATTTAATGGCACTGCCTTCTTAGAAGTATCATAGGTGAAAGGTGTATTGAGGCAAACTGCCATGAAAGAGTTTCTGAATGTGCCCGAGGTAAATAGTGATTAATACTGAAACAAGGGAAATATTTCCTCAGGGAGAATGGAACGGAACAGCAACACCACAAATATGTGCAGGTATATAAAGGAGCGAACATCAAAAACTCATGCTGATAACAAAGAAAGAATGGCGGTTAAAATGGACTTAGCTGAGATGGCAAAATTGACATGTTTGATCAGAGAAAAGTCATTGTTGACATTTGTTAACAATTGGAAACCTATCATAAGATTGTTGCATGAAAAAGAAAACGAAATAATGATATTTGGATTTGAGAATTTAAGATAATATTTGCTTATAGAAAGTGGCTTTGCTGGGTGGACAAAGTGAATATTGTTTTTATATAGCAGACAGAAGAAGAATGGGAAGTTCTTTACTTTCTGAATCTTATTTTTCTATCTTTCTCTTTTAACGTCTTTTCTCTTGTGAACTCTTTTTTCATCATTTCTTTTTTCTTTATCCCTTCCCCCCTCCTTTTTATTTGTTTATTGTATCTAAAGTCTTAGTTGGATAAAAAAAGGGGGAAAGATATTAAGTTTTGTATTTTTCTCTATAAACCTTTTTTTAAAAAAGAAAAAAGAAAACTCATGCTGATGTAGATAAAACTTTCACTTAGTTATGGTTGGACAATCATATACAGTAAGTCAAGATTCTTAGGGTTACTAGAGGTCTTAAGCATCCGGTAAAATAATGCCACAATTGCTGCCATGGGCATGGCCAATCCATATCCTCTTCCCCCTTTTACTTTGAAGAAAACCTCAAGAGTTTCTATCTTGTGAAACACCAGTCTGAAGCATAAATTGAGGACCTGTGATCCTCTGGATGTTAAAGGACATCAGCTCTCTTCATCCCTGTCCTATTGGCCATGCTGGCTGGGACTGATTTGAGTTGAATTCCAACAATATCTAGAGCAGGTACAGACAAACTCAGCCCTCTAGACTACTGTAGTTTTGGGACTACAGCTCCCATCATCCCTAGCTAACAGGACCAGTGGTCAGGGATGGTGCCTTTGCCTGATCTAGAGGGCCAAAAGTTCTCCATCCTTGGCCTACAGAATAAATAAGAGTCTCCAGCTAGGGAAAGATGTCCAAATAATGCCCTACTGTGGTGTCTCCTGCTGCCTCCGCAGCCCTATATTATCCATATATTAGTGGGAGGTGGTCTGAAGAGGGAAGGGTGCTCTACAGCTGTAGGTTCCACATTTGATTTAGAACCTTGCAGGGTTCTAGAACACAAACAGGGTTCTAAATCACACAAGGAGTTTACACAGATTGAACAAGCTCCCCTCTTCATGGAACGCATGGGTGGAGGCTGTCAGGGAGCATGGCTGCAAGGGACCAGTAACGTTGTCCCCCCTCATACACACCTAATCTTGTGAGATATAATACCTGAATACAAGCCTAATGAGTCTACATTTTGGTTATGCTAGTCAGTTAGTCTCTCTCGTTGCCAGCTTCCCCATGCCTGGTTCTAATGGAATCATGCTACCAACATGCAGAATTCAGGTAGGATAAATGGACATAAATCTGACATCAGGAATCACAAGACAGAGAAGCCAGTAGGAGAACACTTCAATCTCCCAGGACATTCAATACAGGATCTCAAAGTAACTGTCTTATTTACAAAAGAATATCAGAAACAGACTTGAAAGAGAAGTTGCTGAATTACAACTTATCACTAAACTGAAAACTATGGAGAGACCTGGTCTTAATATATTGGATATTGGATTCCTGTCTCATTACATATGCTAATCATCTGCATACTATCCCTTGCTTTTTCCTGTTACAGGTAGGTAGCCGTGTTGGTCTGCCATAGTCGAAACAAAATAAAATAAATAATTTTTTAAAAAATCCTTTCAGTAGCACCTTAGAGACCAACTAAGTTAGTTATTGGTATGAGCTTTCATGTGCATGCACACGTCTTCAGATACACTGCTTTTCCCTGCAGGACTAGTTGCAGTCGTCAACAGTTGTCAACAGGTTTACCATACCCATTGAGTCAATCACCCATCACCTACTACCCTCCTGAGAAAAACCCACCCCACCCTACCCTACTATATATAAGGGTCTTGTAACTTCTGTTTCAGTGTATCTGAAGAAGTGTGCATGCACATGAAAGCTTAGTTGGTCTCTAAGGTGCTACTGGACAATTTATTTTTATTTTATTTCAACATGCAGAATTGGCACTTCAAAGCTCACCCCAAGAATCGAAAATATGCACTTGAACTAAGGGCAGGTGGTGTGTGTGTGTGTGTGTGTGTGTGTGTGTGTGTGTGTGTGTGCTGTTCTGCTCTAAATGTAGTGAGAACAGCTTCACCTTCAGACAATCTGCATTTTCACTGCAAGTGGTCAAAGAAATGGCCCAAATGAAAACAAGCAGGGAATCCATCCGAAAGTTCTCGGTCAGATGGTCTTTATTACTCTTAATTTGAGCCACCACATCATTTGTATCCAATTTCACTTTTGACTTAATAAGGCAGATGAAAAACGAAAGCAGTTCATTAAACCTTAGCCAGAAGAGGGGAGCAGGTTTGTGCAATGACTCATAGTAGCAGTCACTTCACATAGCTGATTAGCCAGACACCAGGAGGAGGAACATGTATCTAAATTAATTTGGAATAAGAGATCTGTTTGCACTCTGCTGTTGCTGGTTAGTATTGTGGATATCCTGGCATCCCACCCCCACTTACCATCCAGGGTTGCTCACCCACATTGCTAATTGCTGTACTAGAACAAGGATTTTCCTCTTGCCAATTAAATTTTATTTTGTTGGATCCTCCTTCTGTTTATGAGAAACATGTTTTATAGCTTTGAAACTGTGACTTGTGTGTACGGGGGTACCTCCTGTCTCTATATCTGGTGGCAATGACATTATGTAATTGATTTCCATCTGTGGAAAGAGAAAGACTATGAGGAAGGAAATGAACTCCCGAACAGAAGGGATGGAACACTGCTCATTTGAGTAAAAACTGTCTAAAATTTTACTCACTGGCTACTTGTGCAAACCTGAATGTAGAAAGGGCCACTAAGACTTTTAAAAGCGAGTTATTTTAATGGTCTTATGTTAAGAACCACTACACAGGCAGAGCAATCTGTATTACAGGGATGGAAAACCTGTGGCACTTCAGGTGTCATTGGACTCCAACTCTTGTCACAGCTGCTGCACATTGGATCAATATTTTCTTCACCATAACCCAAATATCCCCTTCCTCATCAGTCACCACCAGCATTTGTGAGGTTAGGAGTTTTTACCCCAACTTCTAGAGCAGGCATAGGCAAACTGGGCCTCCAGATGTTTTGGGACTACAACTCCCATCATCCCTGTCCTCTGGTCCTGTTAGCTAGGGATAATGGGAGTTGTAGTCCCA